AAAAAAAAAAAAAAAAAAAAAAAAAAAAGTTATTATTGCTGTAGTAGACTGAAAGATACCCCAAATTTACACTTAGGGATTTTCGGACTAAGCTCATAAATTTTCTACAAGCAATTTCTTCTGCAATAATGGCTGTAAGTTGTATGTATTCAGGTGAATGCCTGAATCTGGACGTGTTTGTGGACATGTGCGGTGGACGAAACACAAAGCGACTTCTGCACATCTCCACAAACACGTCCAGATTCAGGTGTTCTGGAAACTCAACGCTGCTAGTAGTAGTGGGACTTCGCCCCTAGTGTCTACTGCTGTGCAGCCTGCAGTGAATTATCTGTTGGGATCCCAGCAAGCAGGAACCATACAAGATACGCAAAGTTTAACAGTTGAAATATCTTTTTGGGCTTGAGACACCCCATTGTCTAAACCAGAAAGTACAAGTGTATCTTCCCGCAGAGAGTGGCAAGATACATCCTTTACTCTGAATACCAATTGCCACTTTGTCTGGAAGATGCACTCGTACTCTTTTTGTCTTCGCCAATCGTGCGCCGAGGCCCTGTGTGCTGAAAATGGGAAAATTGACAAGTCTTTCGGGGGGCAAGTCCCACTAGACGCGTTGAGTTTCCGCAACACCTGAATCTGGGCGTGTTTGAGGAGATGTGCAGAAATGGCGTTGAGTTTCCACAACCGCACTTCCCCACAAACACGTCCAGATTCAGTTATTATTGAAACTCAACGCTGCTAGTGGGACCAATGGCATGTGGAGCCAATGGTGAAGCAGAGGGCTACCACAATCTGCCGCCTAGCCTCTTCCCCCCAACACGCCACACATGCTTCGTAAAGGAATAAAAGGCATACGCTGATTTCTATTCGAACACGAAACGTGCGTTCTCATCGAACAGCCCTAGTTTTCGAATACAAAACATATCCAGTCTATTCAAAATTTTCCAAATTTTATGAAAATTTCGAAAACTCCTATGCAACACATATTGGGAGTTGGTTCGCACAAAGCAAACTTTGTGTGTCCGTATCCATCCGACAGGACTTGAGCTGTTTTTTGTTTCTGTTTTTGGGGGGCTTCATCTTTTATCAATGATTGAGGATTGGGGTGCATACATGGTGTCCAGGGGAAGATGGGTAATCGACGGCCGCTCTGTGGACATATATAAGGTCTGGGCGGGCATGGCAGACGCCCTGGAGACGGGCATAGTGGCACCACTGACACGTTCCAAAATGCATCTGACTGCAAGTACGACCCAGATCTGGATGATTCTGAATGCAATCACGTCCAAAGCTTTTGTTATAAAAGTCCTATGTATGTACTACGTAGTGTGATGATGCCATCACTCTAAGGGCGTATGTGGTCCACATTCCGCTCAGAAACAGAAGAGTCTCTGCGTGAACTGCCTTCCTTAATTGGATCCCAGAGACAAGCAGATTCAGCCCGAAAATTAATGTCCTGGTGCGTAATTTCGACACGCGTTTGCCTCCACACGCAATGAAATGCATCGTAGCCACGTAAAAAAAAAAAAAAAAAAAGGTAGCCTCGTTGGCTGCATGCTCATTCGCACTGCCTACCTTTTTTTCCCCGAACACATACGCGTTATGTTCGGGGGAAGTAGGTAAGAAGGTAGCACTCCGTAGGGAGTATTTTAAGAAAGCACAAAAAAGGCAAAAGGCCGCCCTCAGGGGCTACTAGAGTACTTACACCACTAGCAATCCGCCAAGATTTTGAATGCCCCTGGACATCATTTTTTTGACCAGATGCATTCAAAATCTTCGCGGAGGGCGAGTGGTGCTCCGACGAGGCCCTCAGGCTGCCATGGTATATATATATCGTCACAAATATATATATAGGTCCAGCCTGCGGAGCCGTTGTGTGTGTCCTTGGCGCGACGAGCTTCTGGACAGGCAGGTGGTTTGGTGTGTGAGCTTTTGCAGCACACGCGGACTCGCCGTCCGCATCGGGCAGAGCAGCTATGGCTATGGCTATGGCTATGGCTATGGCTATGGGTATGGCGGCTTGTGGGCGATACAAAGGAGTGCCGGCAGCAACTGGGAGGAGGTCGTTTCTGCTGCTGCTGCTGGCAATTTGTTCTGCGCTCTCGGCAACGATACCGCCGGCAGCAGGGTACGGCCTGGAGGAGTTTTTGGCGGCGCTCAATAATGAGTCCTTGGTCTATCATGAAGTGCAAGGGGACGTGGTCCTCAACGCCTCGTTACCTGCCATCACGGGCAGGAACTTCACGCTGGTGGGCAGAGCGCCACGTGGCAAGCGTCCAGTGATTGACGGAGCATCGAAGCACGGTGGTGGATCTTATTCGCTGTCGCTGACGCTGAAGAACTTAGAGTTTCGAAACTTCAACGGATCGGGCTCGATTTTCGGGGCTTTGGGCCACGACATCGTCATCCTAGATTGCGTCTTTATCAACAACCGCGTGGTGGGTGTGTTGTCCGGGTCTGTCGTGTCTGTTCAGGGCGGCAGCCTGAAGATCTCCGACTGTCTCTTCGTTAACAATAGGGTGGAGGGAGGTGGTTATGGGAGGGGCGGGGCTGTGAGCACCACGTTCTCGAGCGACACGGTGATTGAGAGGACGGTCTTTCGGAGCAATGAGGTGATGGGAACGCGGGGCACGGGAGAAGGTGGGGCCATCTCTGTATCGGCGGCGACGTACCGCATCAGCGAGTGTGTATTCGAAGGTAACAAGGTCGATGGCTATGGCGGCGCAATGGCTGCTACGTTCGCCTCGCGGGGGGAGATCCTGCGCTCGAGCTTCTTGCGCAACTCCGCCTACTCGACGAGATCAGGATGGAAGCGGTATGCAACAGGTGGGGCCATCGACATCTACGGTGAGGACGTCACGATCATCAGCGCATGCACGTTCAGAGAAAACAAGGCGGAGGGCAGGCGAGGAGGGGCAGTGTCTCTGTCGATGTACCAGGCGGAGGCCACCATCTCCGGCTGCAAGTTCGAGAAGAACGCCGCTGGAAGATACGGTGGGGCTGTGGGTGCGCGCCTCGTGCCCACCGGCTTGGTGGAGGGCCCACGTGGCATTTATCTGGAAGACCGCGGGCCTCCAAGGAGTAGAGCGAAGTTCTGCAGAGGGAACACGTACTCGGGAAATTTGGCGGGAAAGTCTGGCGCGAACAACATATACGTGGACATGCGCAACAGCTCGGCCAGCGGAGTGTCCTTCTGTCCGACCAGGCCTCCTCTTGCTCTCATCGAAGCGGCGCCGGGCGTTGTCATCATCTCCTGTGCATCCTGCTGAACAGCTAGTAGGGACATCAATGTCGCACTTGCATGGATTGGATTCCCCTCCCCCCCC